GGGGGGATGGGGATTTAGCTCAGCGGCATAAGCGCCTGCTTTGCAAGCAGGCAGTCGTGAGTTCGATCCCCAGTACTGATAAAAAGGAAAAAAGACAAAAAAAAAAAAAAAAAAGTAGTTTGGACTTTCTATATTCACTAAAATAATAAGAAAAAATTCTTTAAAATAAACTTTTGCTACAGACTAAGTTCAACTACAGAGTTTCTAACTACTGTTACAAATAACAAAATAACCTTTAAATTCACAGTTGCCAAGACTTTTAAATACTTTATAAAGTCATCTCAGAACAAAACTAGAGCAAAACTGAGAAATTTATTTAATTTAAATCTGAACAAAAGCATTAAACTAATTTTATAAAATTCTGGTAAAGGTATTCTGGTAAAATATTTGTTGTATATAAAAAGTCATAGTTATAAAGTCATATACTCAAAATCACATTTCTATATACAATTCAAAATTTATTTAGTCTTTACTAGTCTAGGGGCTATTCTTAAGCATTAATATAAAAAATTCCTTGCCACAGTACAAAGGGTAACAATCAGTCATGGAAAGAACCAATTATCACACAAGGAGAAAAGTGCTTTGTCACACAAGGGTTTTGTGGAAGTGCAAAGGAAGAGGTAACCACACTAGTGTCTAGCAAAGTACACAGCCCATGACAATGCATACTTGATAGTGTTCAAGTATAAAGTCTTCCTGTACCTCTTCCTTCCTTTGAGTTCACAAGGCTAGAGCCTGCTAACTCCCATCCCAAATTAGCCAAGCCCTGAACCACCAGTAAAGCCAGGATTAGCAAAAGGAATTGTCTAGATTTTCAGTAGATAGCAATGCTCAAAGAGAAGATAAGATACTGAGCTATTTACTTGGCATATTTACAAACTGAGCAACATTTCGAAAGAAACAATTTGCCTGGGGCGTCTTCCAAACTGGGGCAGTCATATACTTTATTTGTTGATGTTCATCTTTCTAAAACACCATGAATAAGCAAAGAAAATCTAGGGTTCCTACTTAAGAAATTCCGTCAGCAAATTGGGATATATCATGGGCAGCTAGTTCTAGAAATAATTTCTCTGGAGGGTTTTCTATCTCCTGGGAGAAAGGAAGTCCAAAGAAACAGCATTTCAACAGAGCAGTCACTCTCCAAATGTACTAGTTATTCTAAGAATCCTAGTTAAACCTGAATCAGGTACATACATGGTATACTGCATGCTTTAAAGAACCTTCAGTTTCCTAGAGTATTGTACATTAGAGCAGGAAAACTGAAGGTCACTGCTACCCAGGATTAGGAAGCAGGAGAGGAGTTGAGCAAGGCACAGAGGCTTGTAATTCAGTCCAACCGTATTGGTACATTAATGCATTACTCTATAATTATAGGATTCTCCATCTTTCCTGGAGTAGGCTTCACGATCTTAAAAGCAAACCCAGTCCAGGTATTACTGCCATCAGGTCTCCCAGTTCTAAGACAACAGTATGCTGCTACTGCAGCTAACGATTCCTTGGCATCCAGACACGTTCGAACAACACTTACAGCAGCACCAGCTCTTCTCTTTCAGCCTCTGCATTACTATAGCACTTTTTGCTAAATCTGCCTCTGAGTTTAGACAGGAGCTGGGTGGTTCCTAATCACCCAGCAGCTGCAGCTGAGCAATATTCAGCCTAATTGTGGCATCAGAGCAGCTGAAAGGAAGAGAAAATACATACCCTATGACACCAGTGTATGTACACTGCACATACGCACCACCACACACAGTACCAACGAAACGCTCTATCAGGATACCTTAACAGGAACAGATGATTTCTGTTGAAATTGAGCAGGGGTTGCTCACTAGAGGATCAGTTATTTGTATTATAAACCTGTTTAAATGTGAACTGAAGGTGACCTAAGCCATGTAAGGGTCCTTGAACAATGGCTTACTCAACTTCCTGTAAATATTCACACAACAAAACCAAAATCACAAACGTCACCTTTCTAACTTGACAAAGTTCCTGCGATGTAAAATTTTGCACAGATGTGATTTCTTCTTCAACTCTTATGTTACAACAATGCAAAGTAACAGCAACTAAAACAGCAAGCCTAATTCAAGTAGAGGCAATCATTCTCTGTATTTCTGCAACCCAAACACCATCTTATCATTTGTTTCTTTTTGAAACAAAATCATACTTTTCTTTCAGCTGCAGGAAAACTTACTTTAAACTGAGAATTTCATGACATCCTTTTGAATATCAAAACTAAGACTGAATTACAGTCTTAGCAAAATGAAAATGGATAAAAATTTAAGTTTGATGCCATAAAGCTTTGAGATTTGGGCTGGGGATTTCGCTCAGCGGCATAAGCACCTGCCTTGCAAGCAGGCAGTCATGAGTTCAACCCCTGGTACCGATTTAAAAAAAAAAGCTTTGAGATTTATCACATTAATTTTCTGAAACAGGTGATCGAGTGGACAGTATTCATTCAATTAACATTTTGATTACCTGTTATTAGACACATCATTTGAAATCAGTAAAACCTAGTACCTTTCCTCAAAATATTAAGATAATGTCCTAAGGAAAGAACTTTATTACGAATGTTTTTTCAAAATGCTGTTTGTTGCTCACTTAGAGCATGCAACATTTTCAAGGCTTTTACAGTCTTGCTGTTCCATGGCGATTACTGACTCTAGTCCTGTTTGCAAGGAGGGGCCAGGGACTAAAAGACTTCTTTTTTAAAAAAAGTTTCATGTAAAATAAAATACAGATATATGAAAGCACACAAAACAAATAGAAGTTTAGTGTATTATACTAAGTTTATTGAAGTTTAGTGTATTATACTAAGGCTAAAACCACTATACAACCACCACCAGGTTAAAACAATTTTGTACTGCAGACTCCAAATCCCAATCACAGCCTCTTCCCTTATCTTTACTTTTATTGAAACCAGTTCTTTTCTGTTTTTTAAAAAATATAGCTTTATCACCCAAGTTTTATTCTTAGACACCAAGCGTAGTGCTGTTTTTCAAAAATGTGTTTATTATTAGCCTTTCATATAACACTAGTAAAACTAATAAATTATGCCCACACTGAACTCATGACTCACTAGACTGGGAACTAAATATGCTTATAAAGTAAAAGTACTCAAAGTTATAAACTACTGCCTAAAATAATGCAAATGTGAATGATGAATAAACAAGTCTTATACTATGGGTTTGTAATATTCCATTTATACTGGGACAGTGCTATTCTTTTAGAATATTTATTCTTTTATAATTACAAACATGGAAGAGACTATTTTTTCAACTTGAAAATGTCGTGAACTAAAATATATACATATATATAATATTTATTACCATATATTAATATCATACTTTGACCATAAGACAAATTCCACCTATCCCTGGAAGATACGTCAAGCCTGTAATTTCACTTTCAGCTGAACAGAAAGGAGTCAATTTTGTGGTTTATGAAGTCAGCAAAAACTAACTGCAAAATTAAAGCTATTATAACATTTTGGTGGTTACAGCAGAGTACATATTTTAAGAGGCCTTTTATCTTTTATCCTGAAATCGTGAATATAAACAGTCTTGTACTTAAGATTTAAAGGCATTTTCCCAATTTTAGCACACTCTAAACTGCCTAATAGTATTTAAATTTTTGTTGAACATGAGGCAGTGTCCAAAAATTAAGATACAATTAAAAGCCAACGAGGAAGGGGTCTCACATATTTGAGAAGGGAAAAAAATTGCCTTAGTGAAACTTTCTTATAGTACAACGTATGACTACCATATGTGATTCACTCAAAATCCATGGCTTCTAACTCAAGCCACTTTTTATTATCTGTCCATGCAAAATGTTTCCTGTTCACTGTGCCGCAAACATCAGGCTAGTGAAGACAATAAATTTAAAGTCTACTTTGCCTTAAATGCAGAGTCACACGTAGGCATGTAATAGTATTTTTCTTGGCATGTAATTTAACTTTAAAAACTTGGCAGGATGGCTTAACCATATTCAGAATTATCAAGATCCTTTCGGCGCTGCAATCCTACAGTTACAATGCACCAACACACTGACGATGGTGTCACACAAATGCGAAATCGTCCAGTGAGAACACCAGTTGGACATGAACAGGCGACGAAAGGCACGGATGGAAAGCTGTGGTTCTACTAGACTTCCTATTTACTTTAACAACGGATCAATCATCACACCTGGTGTTATCTAATGCCTGCTTTCATCTATCATGAAAAAAAAGTAATTCAACCCAATCCAGACTCCCAAAAATAAAAACTAAAACAGTCTCTACTGTACCACACTTCCCAAGTACTTCCTAAAACCACTCTACCCCGTGCCCAACACAGCGAAAGCTGGAAGCAATTAGCAAGGAGAAAAACACACTCGGAAACAAAATTTTCTTTAATGCATGTGGACAGGGACCCGGCTCCGGGTCACTACACCGTCCAAGCGGACACAGACGCGTGTTTCCCAACCCCCAACCCAAAACAAAGGGAAACTTTAAAACATGTTACAGTTTTCAATCAAAAGCAGAGCAGTCACGGGTCCCCACTCCCCACCGCCACTGGCCGCTCTCCGGGGAGCACCGCTGCCACCGGCGCCCGGCGACACGCACGCGTCCAGCTTCGGGGACAGCCGGACCGCACCCCTCAACCCTGCCCCGGTCAGCGGCGAAGACGCCAGCCGCCTGGCTATCGGGAGCCGCGCTCTCGAACACCCGCCGAGCCGGAGCCGGAGCCGGAGCCGGAGCCGGAGCCGGAGCCGGGCAGGGAACTGGCCGAGGGGCGCGCAGGTAGCGCGGGCGGCAGCCACGCCCGCCGGGAGCCGAGCCGAGCGGGCCGGACCGGGCTGGGCCGGGCAGGGCAGGGGGAGGGGAAAGTTTCTCCGCAACTTCCCGACGCCCAGCCGGGGTCGCGGGCGCCTCGGCACGCAGCGGCGCCGGGGCCTAGCGCTGCCGGGCCGGGACAGAAGCCGGGGCCGGGGTCCCAGGCGGCTGGGGGCCAGGATCGGGTCCTTACCTGCGCTCCGGCCGCGCTCGCCGGAGTCGCAGCGGCCGCAGCTCCAGTGACGGGAGGCGGCGGCGGCGGGCTGAGGCGACGCCCGCGGGGCCCGGTCTGTCCCCCACCTTCGGGTCGGGGGCGCCGGGCGGGCAGGCGGCAGCGACAGCGGCGGCGGGCCGGCCCGGGACGCGTTCCTGGCGGAGGCTGAGGAGGAGGAGGAGAAGGAGGAGGAGGAGGAGGAGGAGGGAGTTCCCGGGCTCCCCACCCCTGGCCTCGCGCGCCCGGGCGCCCGCTCTCCCCGCCCCCTCCGGGCCCGCCCCTCTGCTCGGGCGCGCGGGCGGGGGCTGCGCTACCTGCGCGCGCCCGTCCGGCTCACCGGAACTCCAGCGGCCTCAGCGCCTTCCGGCGTCGGGTCTCCTGCGGGGCCGCCCTGGCCTTGAGGCGCGGGTTCGGGGCGCGTCTCGGACTGATCACGACTGCCGACCCAACATGGCGGCAGGGTGCGGGGTGGGGGCTGGCGAGGGGCGCGTCTGGGGTCCCGCCCCCCGCGGGCCGAGCTGCTGGGCTTTGTTTTCGCGGGGGAGGACGGGGTCGAACCTCGCGGGCTCCCCTGCACCTTTTCGTGCGCCCTTTCCGCACCCTCGCTCGGCCCGGCGCTCCGCTCGCACCGCCTCGCCGTCACCAGAGCTCGCGGCCCCGGGCCCCGACTCGGGGCCCCGGCCCGGCGCTTCCTGTTGACCGTGGGTTGAGCCAGCCTTGCCGGGAGGGAACCCGAGCCCAGTGCTGTGGGCCCGCGCCTGATGGGCTTTGGCTTCCCTGGGACGGCGCATTGTTTGTTACTCGATCCCGGCGACACCCCAGGCGCCGAACAGGGGTGAGTGCTCCCAGGGCGCTCGCTTGACAGAGGTGGAAACTGAGGCCGGGACCTGGAGGGCCGCAGCTCCCGCAGGGTCCTGCCGGTCCGCACCTGCGCGCCTTCTGATAGGGCTTGCGGAAGAGTGAGGCTCGACGGGACCAACTGGAGCTCTGCTGCTAGCCGCCGGGTTTCCTCTTTTGTGCTTCCTGTTTGATGGGGTTATCAGAATTTTTATGTGGGACTTTTGGTTTCCTTTGTGGTTTTTAGTGAAATTTGGCATCATCTTCAACAAATGTAAAATAGCACAATCATCCATGTCAGGATTCCGCTTTTCTAAGAACTTGAGGAAGTGCATACAAGGGTTTGCAAAGATGGTCTTCATTCAGCCCGCTCTGGTTCACTATCAGTTCAGTCTGGCCTTGAATTCACTTTGTACCCCAGGCTGGCCTCGAACTTGCAGCAAGCTTCCTGCTTCAGCCTCAGTGCTGGGATTACAGGTGTGCACCACCATACCTGGTTTAATGATTTATTTTCACTTATTCCACTTATTTCCAAAGGATGTGTATTTTAAAACATTCTTTTTTAAAAAATCAATCTACAAAGTTTCATTGAGTTCGGTAATAGAAATTACTTTTAACTGAAAATACGTTTTTGTTAAATGAATGAGTAAAGAAACTTGCTGTGTGTCCCTCCTGCACAGCAGGGAGATCTGGTACCTTGTGTGTGTTCGGGTAATAGGAGATAGCCTTCAAATCCTTGGGGAAGTTTGCTTGATTAAAAAAAAAAGGAAAGGTTTAAGCAATCTATGAGCTCTGCCAGGAACTTAGAAAAGTGAAACGTTTTCATTTCAGTTTAGTAATGTTTAAAGTTACTTGACTGGAAGTTGAGCTAGTGTCCACTGCATCCCCCTGGAACCTGCAGTTCTATCAGGAAATGTTTTTGTGGGATGAACTTTCCCTACTTGCAACCAGGGAGTGATCAGCTGCTGTTGCTTCCATGGCTGGGGCTGAAATGGTGCTTTTTTCTCCCTGGTAACCGAGGAAAGCCTATGACCCCACTCCCATCCACAGCCCCCCACCCCATGCTCTGTACCGCATGTCATAGGCACCACCTTGGCTTCCTTAGTTACTTTTATGGTGGCTGAGATAAATACCCAGTGCCCAAAGTTAAAGGCAGAAAGTTTATTTAGCTCATGGTTTGTAGCGGTTTCAGTCCACCGTGACTGACGTGGAGGTAAGATGGCTTTGCAGAGGAGGACAGTAAAGCAGCAAGGGGCAGACAAGCCTCTTTCTGTGCTTGTGCTGTATCCAGTCTACTGGGATTAGGGCAGTGCCAGTCCAATCAGTGGACTGTTAAGTAATCACCTAACACCTTTTGTGCTAGCATTGTACCTTGACTCTAGATTCAGCCACTTCTGAATAAAGCTATGACCACATGAGGCTTTGGAGGGGACAGCTAGACACATGTCACAGCATTGTCCCTTCCAATCCACCAGGCCAGTATTGGGCCCAGCTAGAAGCATATGAGCCTCACTAGGCAAAGATCTGGAGGATTAGCCCAAAAGATGGATTTCTCCTGGTGCTCAGTGAAATAGAGAAGTAATTCATCACTTTCTTGATGGTCGGTGTCTTTATGGCCTCTAGGGTTACATGGGTTATGGTTTTTACTTCCCGTCAACTGGGCAAGAGTTGCCTAATAACCAGATCAATAGTCATATAAAGATATGCACTGTGGTGAACAGATGTCGATGAAAGATCTTAAGATTAACAGAAGTCACAACTGGCAATCTTAAGGTGAACTTCAATAAATCTACCCTGTCTTCTTGTTTTCCTGTGTTGCTTTCTCTACCCTTTCTTTAACTGTTGCTGCCTGCTATAAAGTCATGGGCTTTCTCACTGTGCCTCCTTAGCTCCAGGATTACTTCTAGCAATCAGTTTTATTTCCATTTGGCCCTAGTCCCATTGTGTACTCTAAAATTCCTACCCTCAACTCTGCCTCCTGGTATCCACTCTGCCTGTTCCTAGACAGCCTTCCCACAACTCCAAACTTTCCTGTTCCAAATTAGATCTTTGCTGTCTGACAGCAGTTTCTAAACTGGATGGGCACTTTGTGTCCTGTCACATGACCTCTGCTGACCAAAGTACAGCAAGTACAAGATGCCTTTTGAAGGTATCTGTTTAATTTTTCTTTCTTAATTTTCCTTTCTGATATTAACCCTCCCTGAACACCCACAGTATAGGTCTTCAATCTGAGTTCCTGCACTGGTGGTCTCAGGCTTTATTTTGGAATTTTGAGTATTGAGGGAGTGACATACAGGTGATTCAGATTAGTCATGGTAGACTTGAGAGGCCAGTGTCAGAAAGTGAGTGTCCAGGAGTGTCAGAGTAGGGGACAAGTGTCCAGTACCAGTGATAGTTGCATCCTAAACAGGACTGAAACTCTGCCATATCTTTCTTGTTTCCTGTCTGAGCCTGCTCCTCTGAGCTTCCATTGATTCTCTGAACTTCTGCTAATAAATCAGTGCTTAAAATAAACAAAGATCATTTTTGTTCTTTGCAGCTAAGGAACACGACTTAGTCTCTGCCCCTTACTTGCACTGTGACAGTCAAGTGAGGTCCTGGAAAGGAAAAATCTGCTACATGCAGGTGAGGGTAGAGGTGCTAAGAGAACTTGTTTTCACAGAGAAGGATCAAGCAGATGGAAGATAGAGTGGACATTGTAGGACTCTGGTCGTGAAACACGTGGCTTGTGTCACGTGTAAGACACAAAACCTAGGTGAGAGCTGACAGTCATAGGCTATAGGTGGCAGTCATGGTGTTTAAAATCATGGCATAGGAACACTTTCTCCCAGAGTATTAACTCCACCTGCGGAATCCTTATCAACACAGTTCAGCAGTCACCCAAGACTGCAGTTAGATTATGCTGAAAACATTTGATATGTCTGCTCTATAGACTGACAGTTTCTTCCTATGATCCATATTTGCAGTTCCTAAGCCATTACGAGCACTTGGCTTACCCTTTTCTGACATACGAAGCTGAGTCCAGTCATAATACGTGTCTCTGACACTGAATTGAAACACTATTAAAATCCCTGCCAGATTGCTGCTTCCTGGAAATCTTTACAAATGGGTTATGAAAAATAGAGCATAACTTTGCTTGAAGGCAAGAAGTTAAAGTTAGAATGTTTACCTGCATTGATCATTTAGAAAAGAAACTGTAAAGCAGTCTCCTTTGTTTAAAGTTACCTGATACTAGGTCACAAAATATAGAAGATTGACATTAAGGAACTTTTTATTTTCAGATGTTTTTACAGCAGGGCACTAAGGTTGGGGTTATAAAAAGTGTGTTTAGAATGTATCTATGTTTTTAAAACCTTGTTTTAATATCCTTTCCAAAGCTAAACCTACTTTTGTTTGTTGCAATTTTTAACTTTACAGATCATTACTTTTCATATCTTCGTCTAACCAGACTTTAAAATCTGACTCACTTGATCTTATTCTTTGCTATAAACTACAATGTATTTAATCTTTAAGCAAAATATGTTTACTCTCCTTTGACTTGTATGTGAATAAATAGGGCTTTTGATTACTTGAAATTGCTGCTTGTGTCAGTTAGTGTTCACTGGAGAAACATTTAATGTAAGAGATAGACTGGTTGACAGACTGAAGGACATAGAAGGTAGGCTTACGATGATCACCTGCAGCATCAGGTGTAGAACAGTGCAAAAGGCCTGTGTGTGCACTTGGAGGTCTGAAAGCTCCAAAATTCAAAGGCTTGGAGCTCACTGCAGAGTCCTGTGCAAGCCCATTTCTGGAAGTCGAAGCGTTTGTGCTGGAAGGCTACAGTCTGCAAGGCTGAAGATGTACAGGGTCACCCACACCTTTATTCCTGAAGGTTCTGAGCCTTCTGTCATCCTGCCTGGATTGGGTTGGTGTTGTTTCCCCTTGTGAAGTAATAGTCTCATTTCTCCTTGACAGTGTGAATCAGTCAACCCCTCAAAACATCATAGCTTCCATTGTATCTTGTGTACTCTGAATCCTGCAGAACCCAGAATGACCATGGGGAAGTCTAAGCTTCCAGTTCGATGGTGTCTAGTAATCCCTGAAATATCTAATCATTTCCTTACTCCCGATGTATCCCTGGTAAAGACCTTGGGCCCCTTTCAGGAAAGATGGGAGAGATGGACAGTATGTATTTTTGGTAGTGCATCAGGGTCTCCCTGAAGGTTACCCAGCCACCTACACCTTCATTCAGGAGAGTTTGGGTTTGTAACCTGGCTCAAATCTAGGAATTGTTTTGAGGGGTGCTGATTCTGTTATAGTACTATGCTCTGAGGTAGGTTTCTGTTCATTT